AAAAGACAGCCAGCCAGCAGGATCAATCCGGGAGCTAAATACAGGGATTTAATCTGTTTTACCTAGGCTCTGCCTTAATGCTAAGGGATAAGACCTGAGTGCCAGAAATGCCCATCAAAAGCCACTTAAAAGAGCCTGGCAGCTCAGAAAGCCTCCGAATGGCTCCCTCATTCCTTCCCCATAACAAGGCAACAGCTACAAGACATCTCTCCTTGCAAGGAAGAACTGGATAAGCATTTGTTGTGTGCCTCCAATTCATTTTTGATATATGGAGCCCCTAAGGTGAACCTATCGTAAGGCTTTCTTGGCAAGATTTGTTCAGAGGAGGCTTGCCGTTGCCTGCCCCTGAGGCTGAGAGTGTGTGACTTGCCCAGGGTCACCCAGTGAGTTTCCATAGCCGAGCAGGGAATCGAACCCTGGTCTCCAGAGTCATAACCCGACACTCAAACTACTACGTCACGCTTATTGCATTTTTGCGCCACTACTATGCCACCAGAATTGCATTTCTGAATTATAGCAACAGTTATCTTGAAAATGAAAACTCTAAAATGCTGTTCAGGTGGCATCTCACCCCGATAAGGTGAGCAAAAATGTACAAAAATATAGCTCCCAAATGTTGGAAATTTAAAAATAATACCTGGTACTTTTTTTACCATATGTGGTACCTATGCCTTAAAGCTAAAAAAAAAAAAAAACAACCTTCTGGTTATCAATTCATAATATGATCTTAAAAATACTGAACATAACCATTTGTAGTGGAAATGTAGCCTAGCAACTAAATATTGGAAGAAACTACATGAAATTATAATGACGATTTTACATCTAAAGGTACCATTCAGCCATGAATTATTCTTGCTTAACATGACCCGTAAGATTGAAAAAGATGAGGGGAGAAGATACAGAAAGTGAATATTATATATGGTCACAACTGCCACAATTCTCTATGCTAAATATTGGAAAAATAAACAAATACCATCTATTGATGAATAGGGGATAAAGCTGATGGAAACAATGGATATGGACATTTTAACTGCTCTATTAAAGGATAAATCAATAGATTTAATAGAAGAAGAATGGAAACCAAGAAAAAAAATACTGGAGGAGAGAGATGGCTGGATTTAGTAAAAATTAGATGTATAAAATAATTTGATAAATATTATAGGTTTGAGTAAAGTTTTGGTTTATAATGAATGACAATTATAAAAACATGTAGATGAATCTTATGCTTGTAAAGTTTTTAATTTTTTTAATTGTTCGAATTTGTAGTTTTAATTTTCATTTGATTTACTACTGTTTTAAGGGGGGAGGGATTATGTTTTGGGATATATTGTATGGTTTTATTGTTGTAAACCGCTCTGATTGGGTCCCCAAAGGGCGGGATATAAATAAATTTTATTATTATTATTATTATTAGCTATTTATAGGAATTAAAAAAAACAATTACCTTAAAAAGGGTAATATGCATAGAAGATTAAAAAATCTAAGCTGAGAAGAGAAAACCATGAATTATACATTGCATAAGGTGAATGCAACCTGAAAGGAAGTCTTTTATACATTTGTTTGTTTTGTTAAATGTATAGAGGAAGATTTAGATGAGTTATTATGTTATGTAATGTGATGGGGTCATGTGTTATGTGTATATGTGATGAGATTTATGTTTTTTAATAACTGAAAACTTAATAAAAAGATTTTTTAAAAAAATCCTGAACACAAAAATACCACTATGACCTGAAATGTATCTACTCAATATGTTGCATTTGCTGGAAGATAAAAACATAGAAGAAACATACTATATACGGTGACAGCTGCAAGGTTACTTTATGCACATAACTGGAAAAAATCTAGACATGATATGCTAAGTTTTGATAAAGTAATGATGGAATATAGTATAATACTTAAACTAGAAGAAAATTGAACAGAAATGGTACAATTTTGGAAAGATAATTGGGAAAGAATAGCCATTTTATTTTTGGGAAGAACTGAACAAGGTGCAATATTTTTGGGGAGAACTGAACAGCCATTTTATTTTTGGGGAGAACTGAACAAGGTGCAATAATTTAATATGACTGAGAATACGTGAGTGGTTTTGATAAGCGAATGACTGAATAAGATGATTAATGGAAAGGAAATAGAGACTATAAATAGAAGCTTTAACGGTGGTCAGGAAGAAAATTGAAAATGTGAACAAAATCCTCATTCGAATTCCATTGCGTTTTCTTCTTTTATCATCAGGTTTTTAGTCATTTGTATATATGTGTGTTTTTAGTTTTTTATGTGTTTCTGTTTTGTATATACAAATGTTCACATATTGCATATATGTGTGTGCATGCTTATGATTATAGATTTTATGTGTTGACTGTGTGAACTAATAAAAATCGGTTTTAAAAAATAGATACGCAAACTCTCTGCTCCCCATAGTCTTCCTTCCCCAACCAGATCTAAATAGGGATTTTCTTCTCTTTTGCCTGCAGTGTTTGGGCGAAACTAGACAGGACGGGGCAACCAGGTTTGTGTAGTCACCAAAAAGGTGGAGTGTGAAGGTTGTGTCTATTCCTCAACCACCTACCGACAACTACCTTAAATCAGAAGGAGAGCATTGCAGAAAGTATTTGAGCTCTGGAAACTTTTCCTTTTGTTCCAGCTTGGAAGTGTTCAGGTTTCTAGAATGGCAGAGAACCAGAGAGAAGTGAATGAAGAAAAGAAGTAAAGAAAACCCGAAAACTGTGGCCATCCTATTGCCATTTGGGGTGTAGTTGTGGTTTGGCTCACTCACTCGAGCCCTTCGTTCATCACCAGATTACCGATGCATCTGTCCTGTGGTCAGGAAAAATTACGGGCAGCCACAAGTGACATTATTCAACATGTTTCTAAATAAAAGAAAGGCCTCTTACTGTTTACACTTGAACAAGAAATATTTAATTTTTTTCCCCTTAATGGATTTTACATGGTAAGAATGAAAAAAGACAAAAGAAGCATCAGGAAACTGTTATAGAACTGCAAAATGAAATGAATGGGGTTTGTCAAGAGCGTAAGCCAGTGTGATGTAGTGGTTTCAATGCTGGATGAAGACTCTGGGAGAGCAGGGTTCAAATCCTCATTCAGCCCTGTAAATCCATTGGGTGACTTTGGGCAAGTGACATTCTCTCAGCCACAGAGGAAGGCAAAGGCAAGCCTCCTCTGAACAAATCTTGCAAAGAAAATGCTATCTTAGGGCTACCATAAGATGGACATGACCTGAAGCCGCACAATGACAGCTCCATCCACATTGCAGAAATAATCCAG